ATCCTAATTTCAATAGAGAAGGAGGCTGGGTACTACCACCTGCTTGGGATCCTATAATTAATAAAATTAAAACTAAACCCAAGCATACCACTGCAAGACTTCAAAATACAGTTAGTTCATTCTGCGTAGATCGGACCAAAGACAATAATTAAAAAGCTGAAGGTACTCCGGGTTAACTTTGACATCGGGACGTCAGTCACCTCAGTCCCCCGTGACCATGGGTGCTGGAAGGCACCCGAAACGTCGGGTATTAAAATTAATATAAATAAAACGCGATAAAATCCGTAAAAGTAGTTTTAATCAATGTATCGTGTTCGCGTAAATATAAGAAATCATTATGTTTTATTTTATTTTAAACATTCCTTTAAGAATATATCTTACTATATATTAGAATTGAAACTAAATATGTTTATTCATAACAATATTTTTATGAAGACTTCTAAGCTCCAAAAACTTTCAGTGGTTATCAGACCTACAATTTTTATGAAAGAAAATAGTACATAAAAAACTTACCGAACAAACAGATGTTGTGTCTGTCCAAGCGATGCCGTGCAATGTACAAATGGGCTGGTAATGGAAGCAGAGCCGTTACTGGGACTGGTCCGCAACTGGTACTTGTGGCTGCAGCGATGAATGCTAAAGCGATAATGTGATTTTATTACTTTCAATGTTTGCTTCCCTTCCACTTCCCTTATAACACAAGGTTGTTTCAAATGCAATTGAAATAAGAATGAGATATAAGATTAGGCCCATGACCTCGAATGATCACGATCTGTCAACTGTCACTTGAAAAGTACGGCTTGCAATAAAAATTAATTTGCGTATTAATAAGTTTTACCGCTTTATTTAACTGAGTTTCAGTACTTGAACTCATTTTTTTATAAGTTAGCTTAAAATATTGATACTAGTCTGTGGAATATTTTAAATACATCATTTTACATACAATCTCTGTTTTGTTTTTATACGGGAACGCTGCAATAATAATGACGAAAATGCTAACAACTCAGAAAGTGATGCAAAGATGAGCGAAACAGAAATGCTTCATTCAAATTAATGCTTTTTCGTTCATAGTTCATTTATTTGTGAAAAAATATCTGTTTTGTTCACCCATCTAAATGGTTCGAATTGACAGCTATAACAGTTAGTGCCATTGTTATTTGAATCGTATAGTAATAAGTTTGCTTTTTTGGTGATGTTCTTATATACAAAATATAAAAAAAACGCTTTTTTGCATTAACGTACACTCCACAGTGCGGTGTAGTGGCGGATGTAAGAATATTCACTACGCCATATCATACATACCGTGGGTGTCGTAATAGGCAACAGAGGGAAACATATTCTTGTGTAAATAGTAAATCAATTGATCTGTTCCCCTGGTTGGAGATGATATTTCACTGTTAACAAAAGATATAACAGTTAAATAGTGAAGCTCTGAAAAAGGATCACGCTCTTCGACAGGTACCTCCATGCAACGCTGTGTAATTTTCTTTGCAACAATAGGCAGATAAGCGTCAAAATGTACATTAGATAAATCGTAATTGCCTTACTAGACAGATTTCTGTTCCGGACTCTGTGTATAGCAGACCGTCAGCTACCAATTCACAAAGTCCACCGTAAATTTCATTTTTTAACATAACGGCTGAATATTCATTTGCTGTTGAATAATTATCGCCAATTCTGTCGTGGGTCATAACTGAAAATTTAGGTCAATCATTTACCACAAACCTAACAATTTGTGAACACACCACCATCGCATTTTCTTGGGTTCCGTACATTAAACATGAAAGAGCACGAAACAAATAGGCCCGAGGCACCCCGACTCCTGCTTTAAGAGTGAGGCTCCTCAAGCTAGGAGGGGGCTCGATGTGATTCAAGGGTCCCTCTGAAGGAGGTACGAACCTCGACTTGAACCAATGTTGAAGCGCTCATTCACCATTCACTTTATATTAGTTCGAAAAAAAAAAAGACAACGTTACCACGTTCTAAAACGATACCAACGCCATCTATTGGTAGGGATTGAAACTTGAAGATCAATATAAAATAGATAGGTACCAAGGTATTTCTTTTGGTTTAGTAAAAAATATATTTGGTTTGGTTGTTTATTAGTTTTTTAATTTTTAAATAACTTTTTTCGTTTAGATGCTAATTTTTTGTACAAACCGTCTTGTCTATTTTGTTTTATGTTTTTGTGCAACAAAAGTTTATTCCATTCTATTCTACTCTAATAAATTAATTCTATTTTTATAATTAAATTAATTTAAAATATTTATCAATATCATTTACGTTATTTATGACCCAAAAACCTTAAAAATGTCACCCAAGTCACATAATCCATGAACAAACAAAAAAGAACATACATCCATCCATCCTTTCATCCATGTTGGTTTCAAACCAAAATTGATGACATCTTCGTAATTATGTAACACCCATATTGACATTTAAACCATATCGCACTCCTACAGGAGATGATGGTAGATATTTCCCGTCTGCTACATTGGATTTTTGTTTTCGTGATCAGCGACTCGATAAACCATAAAAAGATACCCATTATGATTTTCAGAATTTGTCACCCCTTTACCACCTTTTAGGGATTGAATTATGAAAGAGACTGAAACACTTGTTTACTCATTTATTGATAGGAGTACTCCTGTGAAGTTTCGAATAAAATAGTTTAACTAATGTTGGTTCCCCATACAAACTTTTAACCCCTTTTCACCCCCTTAGGGGGCGAATTTTCAAAAATCCTTTCTTAGCGGATGCCTACGTCATTACAACTGTCTGTATGCCAAATTTCAGCGAAATCCGTTCAGTAGTTTCGGCTGTGCGTTGATAGATGAGTCAGTCAGGTTTGCCTTTTTAACCGACGAAAAAACGGAGGAGGTACTCAAGTCGACGCGTATTCTATTTTTTTTGTATAACCACGCATAACTTTTTACAGAGCTTTTGCAGAGTTGTGTATTACAACATTACATTACAAAAAAAATCTCACTATGAATGAGCTTTAGACCTGTCAGTCTCTTGTGTGTAAGCCTCTCAGTTTCTGCTTTTCTGATAAAGCTCGTTTGTCGTGAGGAAAAGCCATACCCTCAAGTGTTTTTACTCTACTCAGTGCCACATAGGCCTGCCCTTTGGCAAACACTTTCTTTCCGAGGTCGATTACAGCTTTAAACAATAGTTTAAGTAGGATTGTAAACAGTTAAGTCTAAAGTAAGGTAAGTAGCTATTTTAAAGTAATCAAAAATTAATCATGTAGTAATTAGTAGAAAATAGCCACAAATAATTATAAAATAAAAAAATTTTCAAAAAAAATTAAGCCGCTGAAAAAACTAAAAAGCAAAAAATAATAAATCTTTTTCTTCTAAGTTCTTAAATATATTGCAAATGTACGAATTAACCTTAATAACTAAGTTCATAAACTAATGTAAGTATACCTAAGTAATTTTGAGTCGGCGCCAAAGAATCAATGAACAAAGATCACTAAATTACATTAAATTTATAGATATCATCGTATCAAATTAACAATACAACATGAAATCTTCAGCGATAAACATTAGCATTTCAAAAAATACGCTCTCCACACGAACGCTCACAACGACGTATGCTCTCACGTGTGTACCCCCGTTCGGGTTGCTGTCTCTCTGACATTAGCTTCGTGAAAGGTCGGCATTTTCTGGCGAAGGGGCGTGTAGTGCGGCGCATCAAGTTTTACGTAATTAATTAATTTGCTTGTTTGGCGCCGACTCAAAACTACTTTGATATACTTACATTAGGAACTTAGTTATTAAGATTAATTAAAAACTCAAAATAATTACCAAAATATATACTAAAGTACATTTACATTAGTTGAGTTCAGTTTTTTTTTGCGGTTTAATTTTTTGTGAAAAATATTGTAAGAAAAAGAGACAAACATTAAAGCCTAATAGGACGCACGACTGAGCAAATGCATATACGCTGTTTTAATTATTAACAATATTTTTATAAGTTACCCAAAAAGTACATTTTAAGTTTTTTTGAATGTTTTTTATATTTAAGTTTTTTTCACCCTTTTCTTATTTTTCGACGATTTTCTCCCAAATTTATATGAGATTACCTCTGCTAAACTCTCTGCTAAACTACTGACAAAAAGAAACTTTAAAATCGGTGCACAATTGAGAAATATCACAAAACAAAAAACATAACAGTCCAATAATTGTAAAATTTAAACATCCTCCTGTTTGAAGTCGGTTAAGGAGCGTTTCCTGTTAATTCTAACTATAATTTTATTTTTGGACATCCATTTAATAATTACATCGTCCCCCGTTTGCTTTATAACTCTGTTAGTAACAAACTAAGTACAATGCCATCGAGTGAGGAAATTCGGTTTGAACGACCACCGTTGTCAATGTAACTGAATTGTAGTTTTACTTAGTTTCCCAAACTATACACGCGCACTAAAAACTTTCAAAATTTACCTCTAAGTGGGAAATTTACAGATGATGTTTTATTTATACCATAAAAGGTTAGCCCACCTATGACTATAGTAAATGTATGATAGCACCAATTTTTAAAACATGCGATAAACGCAATCCTAAGGTATGCCACATGCCCGAAAATGAGGCATTATGTCTTGTGAAAACCTGCATGGCTATAAAATTACAATTATTTTGAGGACAATTTACAAAGGTGCAGTATAGCGGATTCTTTGCTGCACTATAAACTTCGTCAGGAGTAAAAGATCTGTATGTACTCGTAGAAGAGACTATGTTGTATTATACGTCGTTTGTACCGACTTTACCTTTAAAAACTTTTTTGGCATTTTATTATAGTTTGAGTCTTGGAAATTAATTTTAACCCTGTGCTTTTATTAAAACAGAACAGTGATTTTTTAAAAAGAAAACCTTTGAAAAAATAGGACTTAAGATAAATAGGACTTCAAGAGTTATTAGATGTTGAAAACCTAAACGTTAAGGTCTTTAAGATTTAGAGTAAATAGATATCAATTTATCATTATAGCGGGTGACTCACCGCACAAGACCGTCAGCGGTCTGGCTGACGCGCACGTTGTTGATGATCCAGTTGTCGATGCCATCATCGGTAAGCCAGTACTGCATCGCTTGAAGCAGTGACATGGCTTTGTTCACGTACGATGGCCCGTGACCAGACTCGCTACAAAAAAAATGTGATGTGATAACTTGAGTGCAAAAGTTCTCTTTTTCAGAACACTAAATAAGTCACGGTTGTAGGTAAGGTGCACGAAGTAATTCGAGAACTTCGAGTTCACCTGAGCGAGAAAGAAACAGACGTTCATTCGGTTATATTTATGGGAATATTACCTCAGTCTTACCGTATACCTAATTACAATTTATGAAAAATTTCACTCTGCAGCTTTGGCTTATAGGTCGTATTCAGCGACCAGCCTCAGCCACTACGGCTCGCAGGGGTGACTGTAATTTGCTACGGCGGGCCGGGGCTGCTCTCCGCCCGCGCCTAGGGCTTTACAAAAACACTAGGCAGACAAAACTACGTGGAATCGGGGCATGCTGATTCAGTTTTAGAACTGATTCGACATCAAATATATAATCATACAAAGTCATCCTGCCCTAAACTTTGCTATGATAGTAGTAAATGAAACAATGTAATGTAAATTGTTATAGTTTTGTTTTCTGAAAAACTTCGTGACTGCTCTTCACTGCGACTAAATTTGTATATGAGTTCCGTCTTTAACTGCGGAATTTGATTCCAACTATGAAATATCTGGTGACATTTGGTCTGCTACGTATGTATTGTTACTAATATTAATACATAGGTACATTTAACAGTATTTTTAACGTCATTGAAATAATTATCCAAAACGGAGTCTACGTACGGGTCCGAAAATACATGTTGTTTATTCATCATCATCATCATTACAGCCCTTCACAAGTCCACTACTGAACATAGGCCTCCCCCACGGAATGCCACAAACAAAGCACGGTCCTCAAGTAACCTGTATCCATCGACTTCCTGCATGTCTTACCAGGTCGTCACTCTATCCAGTGGGCTGCCGCCCTACATTTCGCCTACCGGTACGAGGCTACCCCACTCGAGAACCTTTTTTCCACATCGGTTATCGGTTCTTCGAGCTATAACGCCAGCTCATTACCATTTCAGCATACCGATACGTTGGGTTATGTTGGTCACTCTGGTTCTAATGTGGATATCCTCATTCACACACAGAAACTCCGAGCATAGCCTTCTTCATAGCTCGATATTGAATAAAGTATTGAAAGGACTTACTTGTAAAAGACGTTTAGCGTGAAGTCTTGGCTCATGTCAAGAAACGTGTCGGTAGTGGTACGAGTTCCGGCTGCATCTACGAGGTACACAAGGGCACACTGCTCCGCCGTAAAAGAAACTCCCTTGTACCACATTTTTGCATACCTGTGGTGAAATAAAAAGCTGTCAACAACTTTCTTTAAGTAGATGCGTGTATAAAATCAAACGATCAAACACAGACACCCTCTCGAACTGACGAACTGGGAATGTAGCAAGATCTGAATATTTCTTACAACCATAACATATTGAAGTACTAGAACCACTTTAAGATTTTCTGGTTGGAGAATTATTACAATTATTAATAGATAGTTTGTCACTGCTCACACGTCCATCCGGAGTCTCGTTTCAGCAACCTGTACATTAACAAGCTGTGGAAATGAAGGTAAGATATGAATAGAATATAATAGAATATTTGTATTCAATATTATATTGCAAGTAATTCTTATTGAAAGCCATTTTTAGGGAAAACCAACAGTGGATTTTTTAAACTAAAATTATACAATAAAAACACAGGTTGTTGGTACAGAATACTTACAAAATGTATTTGAGTAACAGCCCTTTGGGTTATTATTAACCCTATATTCATTTATATTATAATAACCTTTTTTTATAGTTCTTGTATAATAAAATATTTAAATATGTTAATAGAGATCCTTTAGAGACCTTGCATCTTTCCTGAGCTTTCTTGTAATAGCGTGTATATTTCCCCATTAATAAATTACTGACTCTATGGAGTCAAGGAATTGATGTCACTAGCTCATATTTATTTCTGGTTTTGTAGTGGATATCACAACTAAATTAGTTTTTAACTACATTGGTTTAGTTTTTTGGACATATTTAATTTTTTTGTTAATATACTTAGAAGCCAAAGTTATGTTTGATATAGCATTATTCACTCAAAATAATGCTTTATCATAATTATCCCACAAGGAAGGTAAGTTATTAATATAGTCTAGAAATTGAAATAGGCCGAGAATTGAGCCCTTTTTTGAAATAACTTACTTATAAATATTCTAAGGCCCTGAGGAACATGCTCCATCCTTTAGTACAGTAGGCTAAAGGTCAACTTGTTTTATTATTGGGTCCTTTTACATTTTATTATTAACCCTACGATGTCGAGAATTTCTGTATTGTACATGAGTACCGCGTTTTTTTTTTTTTTAATAAAATTAGAATTAGCTCCCTTTCTGGTCAATCGATGCTCGATCGATCCTTTTCTTTTGTACTCATTTCGTTTTACCCTTATTGAATATAAAATATATTAGGTACCTACCACTGTTCAAAATTTAACTTACACTAAGTTCTTTAGACAAAAATTAAACAGAAATAAAAATAAAAGCGTCAAAAAACTAAACGTATAGACAAACTAGACGCGTGACGCCAAAATCCCGGCATATGGGAAAAAAGAAACGTGAAACGTCATACGTGATATAATTTTTTTTAAATATTATAATTTTATTTTCCATGTACAATATTTTTGAGGGTCTGAATCCAACCCTGGCCTAATCTTGGTAACGTTACTAAACTAACTGTAAAATAAAACTTTAAAAATGCGTTTATATAATAATTTAATTGTAACAAAATTAATATAGATTATTTACCGATATACGATATCCCATGTTTTTTTATCTTTGTATCGTAATTTTTGCATTCTTTTACTACGGAACTAGACATATTTGTGACAGGCAAATCTGTCCTGCGCGCGCACCACTGCCGACCGATTCGCGTTGGCCCTAAAATTACAGTTTAGCATTGGTCCGTTTTAGTTGTTCGGTCGGCCAGGTCCTTACGCTAGTAATATATAAGTCAGTGGTTCTACAATTATTTTAAGGCTACTAATAAATCCTTAGCAATTCATTTCACTAATTCACTTGGTCCCTACGTGCTCACACACATAGTTTTCTCAGGTAAGTGGTTATAAAATGAGTAGAACTCTATATCTCATAGAGTTCTTCTTATTTATTGGCATACTGTGTTTTAATCATTTAAGCTATTCTTTAGTGCAAACCTGGGCTACGTGCGGTGTAAGAGTGCATGCGGTAAACAAATAGTACGATCATTAAGACTATAACAATTCCACTGGTGTTGCACTTGTTCATGGATAACGGTTGACACGTACAATCAGGTGAATCTTAGGCTCGTTTGCTCCCTCTTCTATTAAAAAAATTACACAAATCTTGTTTATCTTGCACGCGAAACACCCCGTTGCAAGCTCGATCAGTGTCAACATTCAGTTCTTATACTTACTTATTATTGCCTTGCTGGTGGTGAGCTTGGATCTCAACTCGGGAACGATAGTTGTACACTCTCCCATTGGGGTGGATCAACGCGGCGGCAGCCCCCGATTGCGAGAGCGCTAGTACAATGTTGTACTTAGCGTTAGTTACACGAACGGCGCCGTCTACCGTCATGTCCACTCTTCAATATAAAACATGTTTTTTATGATTAGGTAATGGTTTAAATAGTACATGAATAACGAATTCATAACTTTTCCATTTCTACAAGTGCTACGTGGATAACGCTTTTAATTGAGCCCTTTGATATTATAGTTGTAGTACGAATGGGTCGCCTAAGCCATGTAAAAAGAACTACGCTATTACAGAATACTAGCGTAAAATTGCAGAAGCTGATTTGTTTCGTATGGTGAGTTTTATACTAAATGAGCAAAACCATAGAAAAAATAATTATCAAGAAGTAAAATTCACCATACGACACCCCAACCAGATACATTTACATTTTGATTGTTATTTGAATCTCTGTTTCCAATTACCATCAGGTGGACTGTGAGCTCGCTTGTCGCCCTTATTCTATAAAAAATTGCGTAAACTTGCGTAAACTCTTCTTAAGAGGGTATAAGAACATGAAGTGTCTACACCACCACCACGCTGCTCCAGTGCTAGTTGATGAACTTCATCGTTAGGTATTATTAAATATACATAAATACCTAAAAATGATGTACGTTGGGGGAGAGGTGAAGCTCGGCTTGAACGATACGTGGTGCGGTACCGTACTTTCGATGCGTGGTAGAGCTACGCTGCAGCTATATTATGGTGTACGTGGTAGAGCCACGCTGCAGCTATATTATGGTGTACGTGGCAGAGCCACGCTGCAGCTATATTGTGGTGTACGTGGTAGAGCTACGCTGCAGCTATATTATGGTGTACGTGGTAGAGCTACGCTGCAGCTATAATCTGGTGTACGTGGTAGAGCTACGAGCTGCAGCTATATTATGGCGTGCGTGGTAGAGCTACGACTGCAGCTATAATATGGTGTACGTGGTAGAGCTACGAGCTGCAGCTATATTATGGCGTGCGTGGTAGAGCTACGCTGCAGCTATAATCTGGTGTACGTGGTAGAGCCGAGCTGCAGCTATATTATGGCGTGCGTGGTAGAGCTACGCTGCAGCTATAATCTGGTGTACGTGGTAGAGCCACGCTGCAGCTATATTATGGTGTGCGTGGTAGAGCTACGCTGCAGCTATATTATGGTGTACGTGGTAGAGCCACGCTGCAGCTATATTATGGCGTGCGTGGTAGAGCTACGCTGCAGCTATAATCTGGTGTACGTGGTAGAGCCGCGCTGCAGCTATATTATGGTGTACGTGGTAGAGCTACGCTGCAGCTATAATCTGGTGTACGTGGTAGAGCCACGCTGCAGCTATATTATGGCGTGCGTGGTAGAGCTACGCTGCAGCTATAATCTGGTGTACGTGTGAGCCGCGCTGCGTTTATGGCGTGCGTGGTAGAGCCACGCTGCAGCTATATTATGGCGTGCGTGGTAGAGCTACGCTGCAGCTATAATCTGGTGTACGTGGTAGAGCCACGCTGCAGCTATATTATGGCGTGCGTGGTAGAGGCGCAGCTATATTATGGCGTGCGTGGTAGAGCTACGCTGCAGCTATAATCCTGGTGTACGTGGTAGAGCCGAGCTGCAGCTATATTATGGCGTGCGTGGTAGAGCTACGCTGCAGCTATAATCTGGTGTACGTGGTAGAGCCACGCTGCAGCTATATTATGGCGTGCGTGGTAGAGCTACGCTGCAGCTATAATCTGGTGTACGTGGTAGAGCCGAGCTGCAGCTATATTATGGCGTGCGTGGTAGAGCTACGCTGCAGCTATAATCTGGTGTACGTGGTACGTGGATGAACTTCATCGTTAGGTATTATTAAATATACATAAATACCTAAAAATGATGTACGTTGGGAGAGGTGAAGCTCGGCTTGAACGATACGTGGTGCGGTACCGTACTTTCGATGCGTGGTAGAGCTACGCTGCAGCTATATTATGGTGTACGTGGTAGAGGCACGCTGCAGCTATATTATGGTGTACGAGGAAGAGCAACGCTGCAGCTATATTATGGTGTACGTGGCAGAGCCACGCTGCAGCTACATTATGGTGTACGTGGTAGAGCTACGCTGCAGCTATATTATGGTGTGCGTGGTAGAGCTACGCTGCAGCTATAATCTGGTGTACGTGGTAGAGCCGAGCTGCAGCTATATTATGGCGTGCGTGGTAGAGCTACGCTGCAGCTATAATCTGGTGTACGTGGTAGAGCCACGCTGCAGCTATATTATGGAGTACGTGGTAGAGCTACGCTGCAGCTATAATCTGGTGTACGTGGTAGAGCCGCGCTGCAGCTATATTATGGTGTACGTGGTAGAGCTACGCTGCAGCTATAATCTGGTGTAGGTAGACGATCGTGGTAGAGCCTACGTCTGCAGCTATATTATGGCGTGCGTGGTAGAGCTACGCTGCAGCTATAATCTGGTGTACGTGGTAGAGCCACGCTGCAGCTATATTATGGCGTGCGTGGTAGAGCTACGCTGCAGCTATAATCTGGTGTACGTGGTAGAGCCACGCTGCAGCTATATTATGGCGTGCGTGGTAGAGCTACGCTGCGGCTATAATCTGGTGTACGTGGTAGAGCCGAGCTGCAGCTATATTATGGCGTGCGTGGTAGAGCTACGCTGCAGCTATAATCTGGTGTACGTGGTAGAGCCACGCTGCAGCTATATTATGGCGTGCGTGGTAGAGCTACGCTGCAGCTATAATCTGGTGTACGTGGTAGAGCCACGCTGCAGCTATATTATGGCGTGCGTGGTAGAGCTACGCTGCAGCTATAATCTGGTGTACGTGGTAGAGCCACGCTGCAGCTATATTATGGCGTGCGTGATAGAGCCACGCTGCAGCTATATTATGGTGTACGTGGTAGAGCCACGCTGCAGCTATATTATGGTGTGCGTAGTAGAGCCACGCTGCAGCTATATTAGGTTGTAGCACTAACGGGTTGGCTCGACCGGGGAAGGACTACGCTCTCACAGAATACCAGCCAAAAATAGCAGCTCAATACTGCTGTGTTTCATATGGTGAGTGTCTGAAACCCTTTTTGACTGGCATTTTGTTATTTTGTCTTAGTCCTCAGGGGTGACAACGCATCTGCGTTTAGATTCTTAATCGACGATAAATGTAGATGTCTATGAGCCACAGCATCCACTAACCATTAGGTGAATTATATGCCCGTTTGTCACCTTCATTCTATAAAAAAAAACACTATGGAAATATGGGAGAGAGCAAGAGTGATCTAGGCTATATTTTATACAAAAACACGAAGAATTTTTGAGAAATCGAAATCTGATAAAATATACGGCTTTTTTATAAAAGGGAGGGCAAACGAGCATGCGGCTTACCTGATGGTAAGTGACTATCGCCGCCCATGAACAACCGCAACACCAGAGGAACCGCAGGTGTGTTACCGGCCTTTTATAAAGGAGTAAGCTCTTTTCTTGAAGGTCCCTAAGTTATATTGGTCCCGAAAAGTCGCCGGTGATAAACAATTCCACAGAGAAGTTGTACGAGGAGAAAACTTCTACGAAATGCACAGTGGTGGGTCGCCAAGCATCCAGATAGTGAGGATGGTATCGCGAATTTTGACGCGATGTGCGTTTGTGAAATTGGCGGCTGGAACTAATCCGAACAATTCCTCAGAACACCCATAGTAGATACGATAGAAAACGCAAAGGGATGCAACATCCCTACGCAGCACCAGTGAATTGAGTCGATCAGAATAAACTTGGTCGTCGACAATTTGAATCGCTCTGCGCTGGATGCAGTCAAGTGGAAGGAGCTGGCACTGGGGTGTCCCGGCCCTAAGATGAGAACAGTATTCCATGTGAGGCCGAACTTGCACTTTGTAAAGTTGTAAGCGATGTGCCGGCATGAAGTACTGTCTCGCTCTGCTGAGCACACCAAGTTTTTTAGAGGCTAATTTGACCTTCCCCACCAAGTGACCACGAAACTGCACAGTATTCGATACGTCGGTACTCGGTGACGATTTCCAGAGAAATATTGGCACGGCCGATGTATAAGGCATCACCAACCAGTGCCGTCGTCTGCATAGCAATGAATGTTACCAGTTTGCAACATATCATTGACTTGCAGAAGAAACAGCGTTGGTAATAGCACGCAGCCTTGTGTAAAACCAGCGTTAATAGGCTTGTAGTCAGAGCATGCACCGTCTACTACGACCTTGATGCTCCAATTAGCAAGAAAGCTAGTGATCCATTCGCACAATTTCTCGGGAAGCCCATAGGAAGAGAGCTTCGAAAGAAACGCTCTATGTCAGACCCGATCGAAGGCCTTCGCTATGTCCAAACTAACGGCCAATGCCTCCCCCCCTTGGACGCTACTGCTTCCGCCCATCTATGAATAAGGTATACCAGAAGATCACCAGGTGATCGACCACGACGGAAACCGTTCGTAGTTACCGATCAGCTGGTGAACCTCAAGGTATATCATGAGCTGGCAGTTTGCAATCGACGCCATTATTTTGGAGAACAATGAGGTGATGGCAATAGGCCTGTAATTGGACAGCTATGAGTGGTTACCTTTTTTAGGGATCGGGTGGACCAAAGCTGTTTTCCAAGAATTGGAAAAAAATTGGAGAATTGGGACTATGCCTTGGGAGTAGGAGTCATGAAAAGACGCGTTAAAACCGGTGCCAATTCCGCAGCACACGTCTTCAGCACGATGGGAGGGATTCCATCAAGCACACTCGACTTGCTGACGTCCAGGGAGAGAAGTGCTTTGTGAATCGAGCGCTGTGTAAGTCGCACATCCGGAATGGAGCACTCACACTGCGGGATGATCGGTGATATTCCCTCCTCATCGAGAGTCGAGTTGGACGCAAAGAGAGAGCCTAACAGATCGGCTTTCTCCTATGCGGCATAGGCCAGTAAGTCGTCTTCTCTTTGCATAGATGAAAGAGATGGCTGATAGAAGTTCCCTTGGACAGCCTTGGCGAGAGACCAGAATGCACTGGTTCCCGGAGAAAGGCGAACTAGCTTCTCGCCAATTCTGCCGATGTGCTTAGACCTTGCCTTCGCAATGACTCTTTTGAAAGACCTGGAGGCGGAATTATACTTCTTTTTAAGAGCGATGATGCTTACATCCCGAGGCGTTAATGCATCAGCCCAGGCCCGGTAGCACTCCTGCTTATAGCGTGATGCTATTTTACAGGAGCGACCAAACCATGGCTGAGATCTGCCTCCGATGGGCACCACAGAGGACGGAATAAAAAGTTCCATTCTATATTTCACAAACTATAAGATATATTAATGTTTCAAACAAAACTTTTCGACACTTTATGTGTATATGTTTTAAGTTTTCATATACAATAAATTTTTTACATTTTTATTTCTTGAACACTATTTTACCACAAAACTACGAGTTAAAAGATGAGATCTATTTTATGTAAGATTAATATCTTCATTTCCAACTTAAATTAGTTAACTTTTAACGCGTAAAAGAGGTTTTCATTTGTTTTTAGTAAAAAGTTTTATGAAAACCAAATACAAATATTAGGATTATTAGTATACGAATGGAGTTTGCTGGACCCCGTTTATAAGGAGCATAAGCTCTAAAAATAATCTACGCCGACAGTTTATAGTATAAAGTCAGATTTCAATACTTACTTCACGCGGTCTCTCAGCCTCAGACAGACCGTGCCGTGCGGGGTCACTGAAGCGTTATAACGAGCGCCGCCTACTGCATCCGTCACCTGTGTGGTATGTACATTTAATGAGAAGATTGTAAGCAGGTGAATAAAATGTATGGCTTAATTTGTTGTTTATGTGCTACTTATGGTCAAATTACAAATTAAATGGTGAATTGGTAGGAGTAAACTAAGCACATTAAAAATTTATTAACTACATAATAGCTAATGTGCTTAATCGAAATAAAAACACACATGGTAAACAGATGCTCAAAGATGGTGAAGGTACTTTTGTTTTTTGAACTAATCATATCATCAACGCCTGTTCTTAAAAAGTCATCTTTTTTTAAATAAAACTAGTGCAATGTGGATTTTTCGTTGTTTTTATTTAGTTTTTTATAAGAGGTAAATTAAATGACAACCAGCTTGTGTGAAATATCAACTAACCTTTATGAAATGTTACTATTGATAACTCCTTCTAGACCATTTCGACTATGTCAATTTTGGAGGGAGAAACTTCTTTAATTTGATTTCAATATCGAGAATTATCTTTCCTGGTGAACGGATTGCAAGTTTACGAGCCAATCTAAAAAACCACCAGCGCGAAGTACGCGCCTTGCACTACCTGCAATACTCAACAAGCACACAAACGAAGGAATTTTGAACCGCATTGTTAGCTGCGACGAAAAATGGATTCTGCTTGACAATCGCAAGCATTTAGCATTGGTTGGATACTGGTTCAGCACCTAAACAATGCCCTAAAGGAAAACTTACCCATAGAAAAGTGATGGTCACTATTTGGTAGTCAATCGCTTGTCCCCGCTGCTCCTACACGACAACGCGCGTCCTTATACTGCACAACAGACCGACGCCAAGTTACAAAAACTAGTGTTGGAAGCTCTCCGTCATCCGTCGCACTCACTAGACCTTACGCCTACAGATTTCTATTTTTTCCACAACTTCGATAACTTTTTAGCGGGAAAAAAAAATTAAATACCCGAGAGTCAAAATAGCCTTTGAAGTATGTGTTGCTTCCCGTCCGGTTGATTTATTCAAGAAAGGCATCAATAAACTGCAACAGCGTTAGCAAAGATATATCGATTGCATGGGCGATTACTTTGATAAAAAGAAACATAAATAGAGAAAAAAAGTTACGTTAACTTATTTCACAAAATACAGCAATTTCATAGGTAAATACCAATGTAAAAAGGGTTTAAATATATTTAGAAATATGTTCTCATTATGTACTTACTAGTACCATCCATACCACAGGCAAGAAGACGTAGTAGTAGCTCAGATGGTGCTTACTATAAATATACAGTACGCGAGCAATCTGGGTTCGATCCCCGCCGGCACCAATGAAATTGTTAATTGCAATTAAGTGCTGATTTACCACGTTATTATTTTTTTAAATCGATTAATTGCTAGTTTTACATTGATACAGTGGTTTAAGTGGCTTATGACACCATATTATTAGATTATATTAGATTTACATTATATTAGATTTATTAAGTCCGTATGGAGGGGTAAATTCGATAATTTTTGAAGATATCAATTGTTCAACTCAATCTATTTTTTAATCTTTTCATCTATCACGTGGTAAGTCATGGAATGTAAATAACTGTTTGATTTTGTTTTAATTAGTTATAATAATTTTTTTCGGCTGAGAAATTCCGAAATTTTCGGTGTTTGAGCAGCCTTGTAATAATGTATTTTACAAATAAAGATATACTTCTCACACACTCCGGGTGTCGTTTATTTACAGCGACTCGTGATGCAAAATATCGATCGCTGTAGAAACACAAAATATTCCAAAAACCAAATTTAATACATTCTTGAACAAATAAGATATTATTATTATTTTTAAAATCGCAGATTTTCATTACAGTATATTGTTACGCTAAAAGTACGTAGGACTAAATATACTTATACGTCTTAGACTTTATGGAGTGACCTGAAGGTGTACTTCAGTATCTGATACTGGAGCTCCTCGAAAAGTAGAACAAGGTGTGCCGAGTTTGGCTTCGTTTGGTTAGTTATGATGAGATCTTACCTTCGAACTTGATAGAGTAACCTGATGGTGTACTTTGGTGAATGCTAAATTAAAATACTGGTTATGACTAGATGAAAAACTTTTTGAAAACTGAGAAGTTGATGAGAAAAAAATTTAACAAGTCAGGTACGAGGGCGGCACTGAAAATTTCGGGAATCAAGGAAGTGACACAACATTACTATTTAAAAAGGTATTTATTGCTTTTCGAATTATTTTCCGCGAAATTTGACACATTTTTCCATACGATGGAACCAATAATTGAAGCAACCATTCCATTCGGAAGTTGGGTTCTCCAAAATGGCCGTTTTGTAGGCATCCACAGCTTCTTCAGGTGATGAAAGTATAGAAATTTATTCTTTATTTTAGGGAAAGTATAGAAATCATTAGGGCTTAGGTCGGGGCTGTACGGCGGATGGTCTAATAATTCTATGTTTTCTTGCTCTAAAAACTCTTTGGTTCTGTGTGCGGTGTGAGAACTAGCATTGTCGTGATGGAGGATAATGTGGCGGTTGCAGTTCCCTTTACGGAGCTCAGAAACACCTATGGCAAACAAATGCTAGCATACCATTCTGCATTAACCGTTCTTTGTCCCTCAAGAGGAATAGTCGTAACATTGCCGGTTTTGGAGAGAAACGTGGCCACCATTTCTTTTGCAACACTTCGTGAACGAACAATTTTTGTTGGATTTAACTCATTTTCGAACACCCAAACTCGTGACTGGTTTTTTGTTTCGGGTTCGTACGCGTATATCCAGGAATCGTCACCTGATACAATGTTGTATACAGCATTTGAGGATCCTGCGTGGAATCTTTCGAGAGTTCTGACGCACCAAGTAACGCGAGCCGCTTTTTGCTCTTCACAGAGCGAATGCGGTATCCATCGGAAAAACAACTTTTTTTACACCTAATTGTTCATGCAACATTATTTATATTTAACTCATGCCAATGTCTAAAGTTGCCTGAATTTCGCGGTATATCACATGTCGATCTTCTTCAATCAGCTTACGCACAGCATCAACGTTTTCTTGGGTGACTGCAGTTTTTGGACGACCTTGGCGGGGATCATCACTGAGCTTGACACGTCCACGTTGAAATTCAGCAAACCAGCGATAAATTGTGGTTTTGGATGGGGCTTCATCAATGAGAATCATCCGGTCAACACACTGTTTTTGTGTTAAACCACTTCGAAAGTCATAATAAATCATCGCTCTTGAATTTTCTCGAGTCAATTCCATTTTCTCAACGACTAAACAAGTTTGACAAAACCTTGTAACAAGACCGAGAATCTTTTTTTTAAATAAATAAATGGTATTCGATTTTTAAAACCAAGGAGTTTTCAATTAAGAAGATTTTAATACGACAGGAATAGTGGAAATATTCCATTCCCGATACTTTTAAGTGCAGTCTAGTAAAAAAGACTAGTTTTTACGATAATGCTTGAGTAGAAATACGTAAAAAATTTCTATATTAAAAGTTGATTTCTGATCGTTTTAGGATAATTCTTTTAAAAGTTTTTTTCAATTAACAATACTTAAATAAAAAGTTTTTGGAACATCAATAATAATAACATCACAATTTTTTTAAATATTTTCTATTGTTGATAGAGAATATTTTTCTACATTTTTTCATGATCATATGAGGATTATGATTCGTGTACTTTTGAATTTTCCAAACAGTTTTTATTGATGTTTGACATAAAATTATCGGAAAAATCATTGAGCTAATATGTACTACGTACTAGAGGCGACACTGCTTTCAGCTACTATGTTCCATTCAACTGCGGTCCATACACCGCACTTTAATCAGTCACTCGCTAGGCGCTTGTAGAGTTGACACGTGTTGTGTTGATTTAAAAAAAATCTCTTGATAAAAATATGCCGTCGTGCGTACTTAGATATTGCACAAATAATTCAAGAAATGTCAGTAAAAACCAAGGAATTACTTTTCATCGGTTAAAAAGATACTTAATCAATAAAAAAGTATTATAAATTAGTTATAAAACAAATTATTCTTAAGACGCCATCTCGTGTCACGTAATATAGATTATGAAATTAATTTGTTCAGATGCGACATTTCTGTGGGTACTTAAGTATAGGACTAATTATATTAATATACACCTTTTTTTGTAGAAACATATAAGTTTTAATTAGGCAAAAAATTTTATATTTAAATCTGCTCATTTTTCTTATATTTTATTTTTAGGTTTCCACATCAAAGTCAAAGTAGAATAAATTCGTCAATTTTTAACTCTCGCGTGCCCAGTATTTATGAACGGCTCTTATTTTAATTTAAATAAATATATTAGAATATGTAATTTAAATGTTATATTAACAAGTTTTATTAAACATACATTTAGTATGTTTTTTTATATTTGAGATAGACCTTTTAAAATATTGAGATAAAAATATCATTAAAGTGTAATTGTGATATAATATTATGTAACATTATATTAAATAAGCAAATATAATATACAAAATAAATGACAAAATTTAAAAAAAATCTCGATATAATTTACCTATTTAACAGTACAATCTTTTATTACCTACAGATCATTCTACCTATGTTTATTCTATGATAAGAAAACAAACCGCGCGAACACAGAGTAGCGCACATTTTTTGTTTGAATTAGCTGTTCTAGTACGTAAGTACATACTACATCAATGGGAAAAATAGAAGTTATAGCTAATAAGGTTATCTGTGAAAACTTGTGCGTATTTAAAATATTTTAAAAATTTGACGTATAACATGAGCGTTTAAGGCATGCACATTTGGATTTACCAAGTTTTTTTTAAATGGAAGTCACTTAAAAACAGGCAAGTAAATATACTATGACTTCCCAAATAGTAATTATAATATGTACTTATTGAGCTGACCTTAATTTGCTATTATTCAGTCTATATTATAGACCGAATAATAGCAAATATTAATATATTAATACGTAAAAGAATAACTTTCTACCCATATTTAAGGATATAGCGCGCACAGAGAAGTGTGAGATTTGGCATAGTCTAAATTTATGTGGAGAATTGCTGAAAGCTAAAATTTAAGTATAATATTTGTTATAAATACACATCAGAACGATGATGTGATTTGTAACAAATAATTTAAATTTATACGATCGTACTACAAGCATTATTTTTTATGTTATTATTCTAAAACCAATGTCAAACAATTAGTCAGTGGTTAAACAATTAGTTTTTTAATAAGTTACTTATTAAAAAAATGGGTGGCATACATGACAGAGATCGTCGCCAAAGGATTTTAAAATGTTGCCAACAAATAATTACTGACAGTTTTTAAGTAAGCTGCAAATATTGTGTGATTTCAATTGTTCCCTTCTTATTCTTTCGAGTGTATATGAATGCGTTTATTCTATAATTTTTATATTAGGTATATGTGTTATATTTACCAATGTGCAATTTATAATCACCTACATCTTACATATTATACAAATCTTAAAATTTAATGAATTACGGTCAAATTTTGAGTACTAGTCCATTTTAACATGTAAAGCAGTGGTTTCTAAGTTTAAGTATAACTAAAATATAGAGATCGAAATGTTTTCTTATGATTAATATAACAAGAGAAAGAGACATTGTAATGTCAGGTCTTCTGTAGTAATTTGCCGAAAGATATGTACATATGATATGTAAGTATGATACCAAAGCCTTTTCGGAAACTGGCTTGTTCGTAGACGTGACTCGGAAGGGAAAAATGTCTATAGTTCTTCAGTAGAATGTTTTGTCGCCTTTTTTGAAGAACAATACCACCACGTGGGAAGTAAGGCCACCATTAAGGATGAAATCAAACGACTTCAGAAAGACGTTAAGCATCTGTTCTCCAATTGTTTTTAGAAGTTTTTATACGTGGTAGAGCCATGCAGCAGTTATATTAGTAGTATAGTTGTAACACGAATGGGTCGGCTCGACCGGGGAAGGCCCACGCTCTCACAGAATACCAGCGTAAAATAGTAGCTGCTGCTGTGTGTGTGTATGGTGAGTGTAGAGAACCGAAGACCTACTGGAAACGAGGCATTCCATCTTAGTCGTCACGGGTGACAACACTTCTACATTTTGATTCGCAATTGAGGATGGATGTATATGTCTATCGGCCACAGCAATCACTTAGCATGAGGTGGACTGTGTGCTCATTTGTCACCTTATCCTATAAAAATAAAGAAGTTTCGCTGTGATTCTTTCTTAACTTAGAGCCTTGCCGTTTTTAACGTACTGAAGGATAATAGAATACCCTACATAAAAACAAGAGTTGAGGCGTGATCGTTCGCATAGTGCCGTCTCCTCCATGTTTCTATAAATCAAATGCAATTGTGAGTGCAGCTGCCTGCATCTACATTAATTTCTAAGAAAATCGACTGACTATTCGCCTGTGCCTCTTTGTAAATTTTTTACTGCTCTCGTTTCTGTTTCAACTTTGCAATTGTGTTATCTATAAAAATACAGGTTTTATATTTCAGTAGTTACGTATTTAAAATGCACTGAATTCTTTAAAACAAGTCTGTGTATTGCAAATAGAACCAGTTTCATCTTTTTGTATTTAGCTACTGCTAAAACGTGGATTCGAAAAATTCGCATTATCAATTCCACAACATCAAAAACTCTCAATGATCTATGTGTCTGTCTTATTCTTCTAATAATTTATAAACATAATTTGACTAGATATACATAACTAAGTAAAATAAAATAAAGGTAACACTTCCAATTCTTGTGTAGCTTACCTGACATTGGCCTAACAGAAATTATTGTTTACTTCTACATATTATGTCATTAGTCTTCATTTTCATAATCTACCACAATTTACGTATGTGTATCGTTTTTAAAGTGCCTACAGATCCTAAGATTTACTGCATTTTAATGATAAGAACAAATTGAGAACTTATTTTTAATCTAAAGTGTATTAAACTTTAAGAGCTTTTGCCTTCTTACTGCTTATGAAAACTAATAATAGCATTAAACCGAACGCCATCCATAAGCCTGGATTAACCGGCGATAACTGTTGAATTCATGACTGTCTACTGTATCCTTATTATTTCACAGGTACAATTCATTTAGATATTGATTAAACACAGGCGGACTAGAAATTAAATTGGTTCGAGCGTTTTCATTTTCAATTCCATATTTTGTACGAAATGTCCTTTCATAATTCTAGGTTTATGGCAAAAGCATAAGACACTAGTCCCACCGCCAGTGATGACCGAGAAGCGAATACAGATAGAAACTAGATAACAATTTGGCAAGCAGCTAGAAGCGAATGTGTAGCTCCGATGGTTTGTTACCGGACTGATTGTAGAGTAAAATCACCGCTGATGGGTCTCTCGGCGTAAGTTCTGACAGCCAAGCGAGTATCGTTAAACGAGTTTTACCTTTTATGGCTTTTGTCGCTGTGACAAACTAGTGGAAAGTTCTCGCCGGTAGTGTGAACAGCCAACAATCAACTTTTAATATACATGCATCATGCATGATATGCATCTCCTTTATTAACACGGGATCTATATGTATTATTCTTTACTTGAGCGAGAATATAATAGATCAAAATAGTCGATAGCTAATCGCTTTCTCATCGACGGTGAGATAAATGCCTAAAACTGTAAAAATGTTCTTTCTTTTCTAGTAAAAAATAATTTTAAACACCTTATACGCTACATTCACCTATGAATTGTCCATATAGTGACAAACATACACAAAAGTGTCGGATGGTCTGAAATATTTTCAAGCGAGATGTTCTTGAAGTGGTGTTACCTTACTTAAGTAACACCTAAGTTAACCAACTGCAATGGGTTGCACCCCATTGTAGCCGGCTAAACCAGCTTACCTGCAAAATTACATATTTTACAGGTGAGCTGGTTGAGCTGGTTTATCCGGCTTAATGAAAATTATTGCTGAATGTGTTATTACATACCTCTAAATCCCTCCAAGTGTCAGCATGGTAGATGTCATCGCCGGGATAGAACGGAGCTTTGCGTTGAAGAGGTGCCCGCCACGGCGGCTGCCATGCAGCCGCACCCACAAGCTCGGCTTGCCCCAAGCCTCCTTCCAGAAATTTGCTGTAGTCTTGAAAAGCGGTCAAGTTCGATTCTTCCTACAATAAAAAAAAATATTAATCATCTCATTAAAATAGTCTATAAACTGATAAATATATAAACTAGTAGTAAAGCTTACTACTTCTTCATCATTGGACATATAAGAACTAACTGATCTTTATATATAGATGCTATATCTAGAAGACCGTATTACTGCTATAGTTTCTTCAAAATAATTCTCGATGTAAGATCAGAAGCAAAACATCGGACCAACCTTCACCATGTATTAACCGAATAAAGTACTACTTATATGGTGTATATGCTCTTATCTCCAACCATATTATCATACCGTTTATTCAACGTCAAGGCATTATTTGTATGTAATAATTGCGTAACTGACTTTTCATTTTCAATTACACTATGTATTACACATTCAGAAGTCGTGAAACTCAGTTTTTAACAGAAGCGCGATTCAAATTTTTTGACAACCGCTTACTTTCTTTTCAGGCAATCTGAATTCTTCACAAACATCGATAAATAGAATAAAAAGGCTATATTCACAAGTAAAGTCGGGTACATTACTTGTGAACATAGACTGTCCCGTGATTAAAAGCTTTTGATCATATTATAAAAGCTACAGCATACCATATCCTACTCCTAGGCAGCGAGCTTTTCTCATATAGCAAGGAAAAGTCCGCCGCGCTATTGCAATCAGTGTTGGTGGCCTTCACATGTCTTTGAAATATGTCTTTTTAGTTTCTAAAACATGCAGATTTCCTTACGTTTTCTTCGGCCGTAGATACCGTGGTAAATCAGTACTTAATTTTTATTTAATAATTTCTTTGGTGCCGGCGGGGTTCGAACCCGGGTGCGATTTCCTTAAATAACAAATATTTAAACTGCTTACAAATTAATATTTAGGATATATACACACCACAAGAGGGTCCTATAGATTTCCGTATTGCTGTTTAATTATATTACTCTAAAATTAACCTATAATTTAATTTCTTTGGATTATTCCGTCTGAAAAGTTAATACATACATAGCAATTTATCGAAAGCCATTTATAAGAAATAACATTTTTCTTGTACTTTCCATAGCCACTTTTTACGCCACGGGACAATATGGCGTGACGTTTCATTCTCTCTCACGCCGTCACTACACAGGCTGTTTTTTATTATTGAATTTAAGTATGTATATACATATTTTAATATTTACAATAAAAATGTACTGTCATAACCTGATTGTAAGAATGAGCTGTATAAACACTCCTAGGCCGCACGGGCATAGTCACTTCCTTTCTAAAATCTGTACTACCCATTATGACACTAATTAACAATTTTTAAAACTATTTAGTGTATTAGAAGCGAATTAATTAAAACATTTAACTATACTGAGAAACGATACTGAAAAATACTACATAATACCAATGATGTTTCACGTGGCTCAGTAGAAATGAAAAATGATTTGTCATTTATTTCATTCCACATTTAAAATATTTTTAAATTATTATTTATACTGCTTAATTATATTGGCCAGTTGCAGAATAAACGTCAGTTAAAAACTGAAAAAGTATAGGATTTTAATCAATATCAGCCATAAAGCAACACGGGCCGCTGACGTACCAGACTTCAGCTTTTAGTTTTAAATAGCATTTATTAAATTAATTTTTACTGTTGCTTTTTTTTGTTGGTTAAAAGGTTTTTCAAAGTAGCGGTGCGGTGTAAGAATATTTACTACCTACCCCAATATCATCCCATGGTTGTCAAAAAAAATCAGGGTGCAACTTGAATTTGATTGTTCATAGATTCAAATAGAAATTTTGTATACTTATAAGTGTAGTGGCGGTTGAGAATATCCACTACCCCATATCTTCCCGTGGGTGTCGTAAGAGGCGACAGAGGGAGACAGGAAGAGATGGGCAGCAGCATCTTCCTGATAACAACTGTGACATAATAAAAAACTGCGGTTGCCAACCCGCTCGCCAAGCGTGGCAACTATGGCAAATACCCCCCATTGAGTAACGACGCAAACAAACGGCCCTCAGTCCCTGGCGGCCCTGCTATTCCTTGATACGGTGGCTACCATGGTAACGGCGGGGCAGGGGGTGCTAAGAACCTCCGGTGGAGGTTCGGTTGCCACCTACGACGACTCGACTTGGCAACATATAACGCACGCACACTGAGGACTGACGAGAAGATACTGGAGCTGGAAGAAGAGGTAGACAAGTTGCGCTGGCCTATTATTGAATTATCCGAAGTCCGAAGTGAGGGGGAGGACACGGCAATCCTCGAGTCCGGCAACTTGTTCTATCTCCGGGATGGCGACCATCTGTCCCAAGGAGGTTTAGGATTTGTCGTCCACAAGACTCTCGTCAACAACGTTGTAAAGATTGGGAGTGTGTCGACGAGGGTCTTTTACCTGATACTCAGAATCACCAAACGATATTCGCTGAAGGTCATACAGATTTACGCACCAACCTCGGCACATCCCGATGAGGAGGTGGAGCAAATGTATGAGGATATTTCCAGAGCCATGCAGTCCTTTAAAACCCACTACACGGTGTTGATGGGAGACTTCAACGCAAAACTAGGCACAAGAGAAAGCGGTGAGCTGAAGGTAGGGAAATTTGGAGTAGGGCAACGGAACCGAAGGGGCCAGCAGCTGGCCGACTTTATGGAGAAAGAGGGACTCTTTCTTGATGAACTCTTTCTTCCAGAAGCGGCCCCACAGGAAGTGGACCTGGTCGAGCCGCGATGGTTCGACAAAAAATGAGATTGACTTCATTATGACGACCAGACGCCAACTGTTCATTGATGTCTCAGTGATCGCAAGGGTGAAAACTGGCAGCGATCACCGAATGGTTAGAGGCACACTGAACCTAAACGTTAAGTTGGAGAGGTCTCGTCTGATGAAGTCAACGCTCCGTCCCCCTCGTGCTCTAATCCAGAATCCCAAAACCTTTCAGTTGGAGTTACGTAACCGCTTTCACTGCCTAGAAGATTGCAATGCAGTGGACGATATGAATGACAAGCTCGTGGAAACTCTCCATGCGGTCTGAGCTAACTTCTGCAAGACCCGCCGCAGAAGAACACAAAAACTCTCCGATCACACTCTTAATCTCATGGCTGTTAGACGGGAGATGAGGCTGCAATCGTCAACAGATTTGACAGCATCCAGGCAACTGAACAGACAGATCTCCAAATGCATGCGGCGAGACTTACGCAACTTTAATACTGCTCGTATTAAAGAAGCGATCGAGCGGAACCAGGGCTCCAAAGTTTTTGCCAGAAATCTGTCTGCCAAAAAGAGCCAACTGTCAAAGCTGAAGACTGAGTGTGGCAGCATCGTTTCCGGGACATCTGAGATTCTGAGTGAGATTGAGAGGTTCTATGGGCAGCTGTAGCATCATCGTTGGAGCCACACGCGAGTGTGAGTAACGATCCAAGAGTAAGTCTTATCCGACACTATTCCGATGATATCCCGGACGTCAGTCTAAGCGAGATTAGAATGGCTCTCCAGCACCTTAAAAACGGCAGGGCCCCAGGCGAAGGATGGAATTACAGCGGAGCTACTGAAAGCGGGTGGAACACCGGTACTTGAAGTCCTTCAGAAGCTCTTCAATTTCGTCCTCCATGATGGCACTACTCCAGAGGCGTGGAGCAGAAGTGCGGTGGTCTTGTTCTTTAAGAAAGGCGTCAACGTTCTCTTGAAGAACTACAGACCGATTTCCCTTCTGAGCCGCGTCTACGTGCTGTTTCCGAGAGTCATTACGAATCGTCTCGCACGCAGACTCGACTACTTCCAGCCTCCCTAAGAAGCCGGTTTCCGAAAAGGCTTCAGTACCATAGGCCACATACATTCCCTGCGGCAGATTGTACAGAAGACCGAAGAGTACAATCTGCCACTTTGCCTGGCATATGTTGGACTATGAGAAAGCCTTTGATTCCGTCGAAATTTGGGCGGTGCTACAGTCCCTTCAGCGGTGCCAAGTTGACTGTCCGTATATCGAAGTGCTGAAGTGTTTGTACAGTAGGGCTACGGTGGCTATCCGAGTACAGAACCAGAGTTCAAAACCTATCCAACTGCAGAGAGGTGTAAGACAGGGTGATGTTATATCCCCGAAACTCTTCACCGCTGCGTTGGAAGACGTTTTCAAGCTACTGGACTGGAAAGGATACGGTATTAACATCAATGGCGAGTACATCACTCACCTTCGATTTGCCGACGATATAGTCCTTATGGAAGAATCGCTGCGCTGGAGGACCTAAGCACTATGCTCAATGACCTCAATGGTGTCTCCCAACGGATAGGTCTTAAGATGAACATGCACAAAACAAAGATCATGTTTAATGTCCATGTCACACCTACGCCGCTAGTTGTTGGGAGCACTATGCTCGAAGTTGTTGACGAGTACGTTTACCTGGGACAAATAGTCCGACTAGGTAAGTCCAACTTCGACCGAGAGGTCAATCAACGGATTCAACTCGGCTGGGCAGCGTTCGGGAAATTACGACACATCTTCTCGTCAGGTATACCTCAATCTCTGAAAACTAAGGTGTATAACCAGTGCGTGTTGACTTACGGTTCTGAGACGTGGTCCTTCACTGCTGGCCGTATGAGGACGCTCAAGGTCGCTCAGCGAGCTATGGAGAGGGCTATGCTCGGACTTTCTTTGCGTGATAGACTCAGAAATGAGGATATTCGCAGTAAAACCAGAGTGATCGACATAGCCCAACGGATTAGTAAGCTGAAGTGGCAATGGGCCGGCCATATAGCTCGAAGAACCGATAGCCGATGGAGAAGAAAGGTTCTCGAGTGGCAGCCTCGTACCGGTAGGCGTAGTGTAGGGCGACCCCCCACTAGATGGAGTGACGACCTGGTAAGACATGCAGGAAGTCGATGGTTGCAGGTGGCTCAGGACCGTGCTTTGTGGCGTTACTTGGGTGAGGCCTATGAGAGTGGACTTGTGAAGGGCTGTAATGATGATGATGATGATGATATTATAAGACTAAATTACTCGTCGTTGTGTCATCGTGGTAACTGAAAAAAGTGACTTTCAATAAGTATTGTTATATATATATATATATATATATATATATATATATATATATATATATGTGTGTGTGTGTGTGTGTGTGTGTGTGTGTGTGTGTGTGTGTGTGTGTGTGTATGAATGTGAGATAAGCTTGTTGACGCATAAAGTTACTATCAGTTTCACTACAGAAATTCTTTAGATTAGAATTATTACTTACTGGTGCTATATAAGACCGAGCAGCTACA